GTGGGCGGCGGCTCTGACCGCCCAGAATAGGGTACGCCTCTGGCGCCCTCAGAGGGTAATGGCGGTCAGAGCCATACGCGGTTACCGCACCGTTTCTACGGAGGTGGCATGCGCGTTGGCCGGAACTCCCCCGTGGGATTTGGAGGCGGAAGACTCCCGGGCGGAGAGCGGATTTCGCCCTCCGCCCGAGGATGTGCGCGAGTGGCGCGAAGCCGCTCGCCGAGCCACGATGGCTCGTTGGTCGTTCCGGCTGGAGACTCCACGCGCTGGCTTCGCCGCCGTGGAGGCTCTCCAGCCGGTCATCGCCGAGTGGGCAGGGCGGCAGCACGGGACCCTTTCCTTCCGACTGACGCAGGTGCTTTCCGGGCACGGTTGCTTCGGAAAGTACCTGCACACGGTCGCTAGGAGGGAACTGAGTCCCGCCTGCCACCACTGCGACTGCAGTGAGGACTCGGCCCAGCACACGCTGGCGGTCTGCCCCGCATGGGCGGCGCAGCGTCGGGCCCTCACTGCAGTCATCGGAGTGGATCTCTCGCTACCGGCCGTAGTACGCTCCATGGCCGGTAGCGACAGTTGTTTTACCGCGGTCGCAACCTTCTGCGAGGTAGTAATCTCGCGGAAGGAGGCGGCGGAGAGGGCCCGGGAGGACGACCTCCACTCGGACCCGATCCGCCGCCGGCGAACCGGGCGGCGGAGGCCCGCCTACCACAGCCTCATGCCGCCCTGAGTGTGGCCGCGGGTGGACGGGGTGGGTTTCCCCTCCACCCGCATTAGTTTGGCCAGCCGCGAGGGGGCGGCGTCCGCGTGTGCCGGACGTCGCCTAAAGAGAGGAAAACATCGAGACGGAGCCCGCACCAGGAGCGGGCTGGCGCTAGGAGGGGTCCGGATGTCTTAACAACAGCTGTTCCCGGATCCCTCCTGTTACAGGCGCAGAGTGGCACACCGTGTGGTTTTAGTCGGTCCGAGTCCGACACACCACCCCGCCGCAAACCCCGGAGGGGTGACGGTCCGAGGGGATTTCCACACGTTAAAAAAAAAAAAAAAAAAAGGGTTTGTTTCAAGTTTTCCTTCTCTTTGCAGTGCTGTTGTCCTGCTTAGTTTGCTCCCTTAGTCGGCTCTTACGACACCCACGGGATGAATTGGGGTGGTGACAATTTGTATTCTTTATCTGTCACCACACGGATCGGATTCAATTATATTAATTTGCATAAATAAGTTACACCCGGACATAGAACAAATAACCGTGGTCATCACACAAATATTTGTTCTGGGTGGGTATCAAACACACGACCTCCGGCTGAGTATTTCACTAACCACTAGACCATCAGACCCGTCATATTATTTGTATCATCTTTACTATTGTACACTAGCTGCTGGCCAATCTCAAGGCCAGAGGACAGGTAAACATTTATTGAAGACAAGTTTTTAATTGCATGAGATTGCGATAAAAGAATTCGAAACGATTAAAAAAAACCCAAAATATATCAAATTGAATTTATGAGATTGTACTTACAGCAGTCTGAGGATTATATCCTCATCAATGAATGATTACTATATAGGAATGGAAACTGTTCGAATAACTTTAAACCTGATGAAAGTTTTTGAAAATACTATATACCTAGATGTATTCAAAAAGTTTTGATAATACAGGTAATCTTAGTGCCTAATTAATAACACCAAAGAATACTCCGCAGTATCAAAAAAGAAGTTATTATTAATATGACGCGCTTGTTAGTTTAGTGGTTAGTGACTAACGCTAGCTAAAGCGGTCGTCGCGGATTCGATTCCCACCCAGGACAAATAATTGTCTGATGACCACGATCATTATGTTCTGTGTCTGGGTGGAATTCATCTATGATATGTGTGTATTTAGAAATATATAAGTATGTTTATCAGCAGTCTGGTAACTATAATACAGACTCCGCCTAGTTTGGGATCAGACTGCCTATGCTGTGTGTAAGATGTGTGAAGTCATAATTATCAACTATCAATTTTTATTGCCATACTTTTAAATTCTTTACTATAAAAAAACTAATTAGTAACTAATTTCCATCATTCAGTGCCTATACGCCAATTAATTTACATCGCACAATCAGTAAATAAGCAAAGAATTATCCACGATCAGCTAGTTATATGGCATGCCTTTAGTACCGATTACGCAGTTATTAAACAAAGGAGGAAATAACAATGAGGTATATGTGGTTATACCTTATATTTACTTTAAATTGTTGCGGTTTGTTCCTTATTCCTACGCTTGCGAGAGTTGTAAATCTCAATTGTATTTTCTTGATCTCATGTCATTGTTAGTGTTTTTAAAACAGTCGTCTTCGATTACATTCATATTGTGCTCATTTATTATGCCATAAGCACCTTATGAGGCACTAAGAAAAAATAGCCATAACCTTCAAAACTTATTTTCTAAGAAGAGGTCTATATCCAGCAGATGACTATTAAAGGCTGTTGATGATGATGATGGAAAGTATGTATACATATTTCTTTTTATATTTAGTCTTACAGTTATTTATCTCTTGATGATTGACATATGATATCATTACAAACTTATATGAGTATTATTATCAAATTGTATCGGCAAAAGCATATTTAGACAGTAAGAAAGACTTCAAAGTCTCATCATCATTATGAAAGGAGTATTTCCATATATGATTTATAAACTTGATGTAATCGAAGCAATTTCACGCAGAAACTAGTTCTTGTAAAGGTTAACGTTACATAAATGATTGTTGACTCATATTGTATAACAAGAAATTGTGTTTACATATTTGAATTTATAGGAAAATTAAAAACAAATCTATAACTGATCACTGTACAATACTTGAGTAAATAAGAAAAAGTTTTGAACATTCATATTTCTGTCTAGAAACATTTAAATTTCCAAACGATAAAAGAAAAGGAAAAAATACTAGCCAATCTCTTCGGGTTGCACAAGAACTGTGTGAACAAGAAAACGGTTTTGGGTTCTCGCTCGGTTTAAATATTTGTTTGCATAAATACCTATATTTCCTTGGGTGTGGGTTTTTCTATGTATTTATAACACAACGTATCAATATACCTAAGTTTATTTATATACTAGAACTCATGATATAATTTCTACTTAGTTTAGGTTCACAAAGCGCAGTGTAATATGTCCCAAGATATTAAATCACATTTCTCGGTAAAACTTCTTACTGGCAAATCTTAATTGGTGATTACACGGATGATGCAATTATTAAAGATGTACAACAACCGTAACATAGATGAATTTTCAAATAAGATAAAAACAGGACACTCGTCGTTTTAGTGAGTTTGGGTGTTCTTTAAGTACATCTTAAAATGATTGTTAACCCCTCCGCGACATAGGAATTGTACCCAGCGTCTCCAAACTAACTCCAGCCCCTTATCCCTACTGAATATTGGTGATAAACAGTGTTGTCCAATGTGTCGATCGAATCCACAACACTCAGCGCATTAGGAAGCCACGAGGTGAACGCTTAAACCACTACGCAATCAGTGCAGTCATTAGGGTCATTGGCATCAGTCAACATCATGCAGCCTCTTTGGAACTTAATAAAGATTTATTATGAATTAAAAGTCACCGTAACAAAGAATCTTTAAACAATCTTTAATCTTTATTTTTGTTATGTGGCCAGATTCAATTGATTCGTTGCATTAAATCAATTTTCTAGAAGATTAGTAGATGATATAAGGTATTTTTATAAAGTCAACGGCAGGATGTTATTTTTACGTGCTTGCAAAGCGAAACATTACACATGAAACTATTTTGTTTTAGATGTTAAAATAATAAATTACTCCTTATAGACAGCTGGTATATGGTGGTGACAATTTATTTATAATTTTTATTTGAAATCTGGGTATGTACAGTAAATTCTTTGGCAAGGTCGAAGTTCAAGTTAATTAATTTTAAGGGATATTGTAAGGAAGAAACTAGTCTTTTAAGGACCGCTTTCAGCACTCAGTACGGAAATTGTAGTATTATTATGCAGCTGTATTAATTAACATGAATGCATAAAATGAACATGCATGATGCCAATTTTCCAAAAATTGAATTTTTTAACTTACATTTAAAATAGGAAATAAGTAATTGTATCGTTGATTCTATGATTCATGAAGAACGTCGACTCACTACTAGTATTTGTTACACAGTGATATATTTAGAAGTGCAGTTGAGAAGCAGTCTACTTCGAGGGTTGATGACGGGCTTCCATTCTGTTTAAAATATTGGATAAAATGTTGAACACATTATACGAAACAGGTTAAAATTATACATTGGAGAAAAATTTATTTCGCTTCTTTAGTTTCATGATTTCATTTGGTGAAATACTATCAAAAGATTTTGGTAAAATTGAATTCTCATAACCATGTATTTGCTGCAGCTTTCTATAACAATATTAATGTAATTATATAAAATTAACATATAATTAAAACAATAAGTATTTTTTTAGTTAAATTTGTATTAAACCACCAAATACAGCGAAAGTTTTATTCTACATTCTTTCTCTTATATTTTATTATCAGAAAATAAAAATATTGCGAGTAATCTTGTGTCACACCGAACGCATGCAACTGATATACGTGACACTCATGAACCGTACCGGTTAGCAAGCGAAAACAGCCGTAGACATCGGGGGCAGGAGGGGGACTCCACTTTCCTTTCACAATATTTCATGTCCGTGTAGTGACGGATTAAGAATACGGAATGTCACTACCCCAATTCATCCCGTAGGTGTCATAAGAGCCGACTAAGGGCGCAAAACAACGCAGGACACCAGCACTACAAAAAGAAGGAAAACTTGACACAAACCCTATACCAACCCGCCTGGCCAGCGTGGTATAGTAGGCCAAAACCTTCTTTCTAAGGAGAGGCCTATGCCCAGCAGTGGACTATTAAAGGCTGTTGATGAATACGGAATAAGTCAATAAATGAAATCTTTCTACGGTTTCTTTGTACACATTTTAATAATAATTTGTTTTTTAAATTTTAGTCGCTGAAAACGATCATCAGTTTGGTATTGGTGTTGTTGAGCAGCCGGACGGAGTCGTTACCCTCCTTAAACGGTGGTCTGAAGACCTTTACTCTCGAGGAACTGATACCACTGACAGTTTCATTCTTTCCTGAACAGTTATCGTTGCAATGGATATCAGGTAAATTACTAACACAGCTTAAGCACAAAAATAGTTCAGAGTAAGAAATTAATTATAAATAATTTAATTTATAAGTGAGAAGAAATATGTACTATTATAAAGCAATTTTTTCATAGCTTTTCAACGAGTGTTTGAGGAAATCGAAGCTCAACCCCATTCGTTTCTTTTAGTTTTTCTCTTAAAAGGTGAAAACGCACTTATGACTCTTGAATTGAAGGTGTCCATGATCGGAAATAGTCAGTTCAATCATATGACCAGTCTACTCGTTTGTTCGTTTTACTATAAACTACATATCATATATGTTATATACACGTTTCATATCTATATAAAAAGAAACTGACCTAAACTGACTGATCGATCAACGCACAGCTGCAACCGCTGGGTCTAGAAACATTAAATTTTCCCTAAACGTTCTTTAGGTGACGTAGGTGTAAATTAATAAACCATTTTTCAAAATTCCACCCCTAAGGATGCAAAATGGGGGTTGGAAATATGATACTTCGTTATTTTTGGGTAGTGGCGTATCCTCTATGATGTCTGATATCGACCACCACGCGGTCGAAGTCGCTGGCAAAAGCTAGTATATCATATATCGTCTTTTCATTTTACACACAATTTTTCCATTTAAGCCCTGAATGAGATGTTACTATCCCTATTACGTAAGTAACTAGATAGCTGGTAGATACATAAGTAACTAGTAGACTAACATTGTACTTGGTCAAGTGAGTGTGTGTATGGTACGTATGTATGTGTGTATGTAATATTCTCTTCGAATTATTATCATACATAACCTATTCTTAATTCTTACAGACACAGAGTATTTATACAAGGAGCCGGGACTAGGTACCTGGAAGTACAACGTAACCACCGATACTTATACAGGGATTCTAGAAGATGCTGACTTGGTGAGTATTTCTTTGTAATACTCGACTGAATTTGCTATGCATTTCAAAAGTTGCGAGCAATTTGCATAGCTTTTATAAGAGTTTCTCAAGGGTTGCTGTTGTACACTAGTCGATTTGTGAATCTGTCTGCTTAAAGAGTACCTCAAACTGATAGTTTTTACATTTTTCTGTTTAATGACTTTTAAGATATTTTTTTTTTTGTTTTACAGGCCAATGTCAGGAATTATTCGACTTCTTCGTTCTCTAAAGATTTCAAATTTTTACTGCTCACTTCTAAGAAACGTAAAGTAAGTATTTATAGAAATAATTTTATTCGACCTTGACCTACATGTAGGGTTTTTGAAAAGCTTATAAATATGTTAAATTCTAAGCTATTTTATTTTTGATAATCCGTTTTCGAACTGAAAGTATTCAACATTATACGTAATTATTATTGTCCGAAATATAATAATTAATCCAAATATCACTTCACTAATTTGGATTTTCAATGATATAATTCCTTTTAATATTCTCATGTCACAATGTAATATAGTATTTATTACTGTTAGGAAGTTGTTCAGGTTAATTTGGTTTTAGGTTCTTTATAAATTGGATGCCTATACACTGTTATGAGTTTTTGAAGCATTTAAGAGGTAGAAATTTCATGAGCAGTCAATGACAGCCAACATGAACGAGATAAGAGTGTTTTGTCATAAATAACTGGCTCTATAAAGGTTTATACGAGTATTTGTTGTAAGAGAATGTTGAATATTTTGTTTTAATATACTTAAATTAAGGTTTTCTGCTACACCTATACAAAAACACGTTATATTTAGATTATATATTTATATTTTTCACAAAACGCTGTCATGCTTAAAGTAATCATTTATAACCTTGAAATCAGTGAATTTTTGTCTTGCCTGGTGAACGATGGAAATTTACGGAATGATTTTGTTGAATCATGTTAATTTTAGTGAATGATGTTTTATTTCATGACTTGAACTGACATTTAATGGATTTTTTGATATTATAGTTTAAAATGTTGACTAGTTTTATGTGGCCGTTTGAACTTAATTTTTAAATTTATAGAAAATATAATTTCATTTTTTTGCTTTCTACACTCCTTCTACATGATATGCATTAAGTATGGATAATATGATATACTTCCATGCGTGAAATAGGTATTTGTTTGAAAGGGGTTCTAAGAATTTTCTTCGCGTATAGGTTTTTTCCTATTTCCTAAAAAGATTACAGATATTTCACTTGATTGTCGAGCGTAATTTCATTGATTCTTATTGCTAAAACTTACACATAGGTATATCGGTTTAAATAAAAGGGTTTGAATTTTGATGCAGTTGAAACAAACAAGACAAATATAACAACGTAATGTCAGCAGCTTGAACTATAGTAGTGAGAAGATTTAATATCCACCAGTTTAACAATATTGCTTGACAAAAAAGGGTCTCAACACCTCAAACCGGATTTTGGTACCTCTTATTTACGAGGCATCCTATCGTCAGGGATTTTCTGCAAATCCTGCGGAACAGGAAATTTCTATACTATTTCATTTTGTGCTCTTTGTGCATGAAGCACTTCTTAAATATAAAATATATTAAAATGGTTATATATTTTTGGACAAATTCTTTGTGAAACTCTGTCTTTGAAATCTTAACGGGAATTTGTGTAGTTACTTCTATTTGTAGGTTTTCTAGAGGCATACAGGTATGTTAGTTACCTTTAATTAACAGATTGCTATTTAAAGGTAATTTAAAATAGCTTGCATGGTAATTTAATGCTCACAGTTTTATTATTGATTTCATTTCATTCGTCAAAGTGACTGGTTTATGCTTTTTAGAAAGATTTCTTCATAAAACTTGTACCTACCACTAAACGATATCAAGAAATTAAAATGGATAAATACTATAGAATAAATGTAGCACGAGTATATAATCAATGCATTACAAAAACAGATGTTATTCTGTGACATTTTGGCGTGTGATAAAGCTGTATTACTTTCAAACATTACCTAGATAACGAGCTAAACTGTAAATTGAGCGAATCTAAAATTTACTGTAGGTAGGTATATCGCAGTTACGCCGCAAAATGCACGATAAATGTGGTTAGTGTGTATAACCTATACACACTAACCTTTCATGAAAGAATCAGCTAATTTAAAGGTTGATACATCATAACATTATTTAGGGTCTTCAATAAATATGTGCTTATTTTATTTTGAATATTCGTGGTCTGATGTCTCTAAAATCCGATTAAATGCATAAGATAGTCATACACTAACAATGCCAAATTATGCGCAATGAAAATAATTTTCATTTTTAGTTTTCCGTATTAGCATTACAACGGCAACAGCGACGTATTTTAAACTACCTTACTCGCACAACTTACAATAAGAATAAATTTATACAAAGAATGCCTCATTTTTGGAATATTTTTGTGTGCTCCTATTGGTCTTAGCGTAATGTTAAACAGCCTATAGCCTTCCTCGGTAAATGGACCATCCAACACTAAAAGAATTATTCAAATCCAACCAGTATTTCCTGAGATTAGAGCGTTCAACTCTTCAGCTTTAAAATATTATATAATAAAATTTTCTACATAGAACGGGATCACATCAGTAGCATCACACATATCACACCACATCACATCTACAGTTTTGGTAATAGTCCACTGCTTTACATAGAATAAGTAACGTTTATCACAAAATTGAGCCCTATTTTTGCTGATGTTGATGCGATTTGACCCGTGCCGTTGATGAAAGCGTTAAGTGTCCTTCTAATGTCTTTACGACTGGGATTTTAATTAAAATTTGGCGTCATTTCTAAAGAGCTATTTACGTCTTGTAGATGTGACGTTGCCGTCTTTTTACATATACATATTCTAGAACCGGATTTTGATTAAATTTTGATTATCGATAAAAATAAACAAGAGTGGAAAAACAGGATAAAATTGGCAATAACTTCGAAATTAAGTAGTTACATGCATACACAAATACGAATGCGTATAATTCGGTGTCTACTTAAAGGTAGATCTCAGAATAAATATATCTTGCTTATGACGTAGGTACAATTTAAAACGCTTTTAAACATTACATAGAACAAAATCGACTTAAGCAACCTTGGGAACATAAAAAACCACTAAATCTCTGACAGCCGAGGTAGGCAATATAACCTAATTAATGTTTAATTAAATAGGTATTGTCATTTTGTAATGTATTTTTTTTATGGTATAAGGGGGCAAACGAGCAGACGCGTCACCTGATGGTAAGCAACTACTGCCCCCCATGGACACTTACAACTCAAGTCACAAGGGCGTTGCTGCGCTTGGAGTCTCTCCCGCTCGAGTAAGTATTTGTGAAGTCAATATTAGTTTTCAAACTAAGTAATATTATGAATACGAAAGTGACTTCATTTCTTTGTTAAGCTTTAAATATCAACCGATTATTATGATATTTTGCATGCATACCGTCACAGTTAAAAAAAAGGACATAGGTACTTTTCATCCCGTAAAAATACCGTTCCCGAGAAATGAAAAATAACTTTTATGCTACTTATATAATTATATATATCCAATGTTGTCATATACAAAAACGATATAGTAGTTAAACAAACAGAATATTCAGTATTGCTATGATGTATTCATTAAATGTTTCAGCATCATCACCCAAGTATGCAAACAAGCGCAATTGCGTTTACCATACAATTGTAAAAAGATAATCGAGTGTGTTATGATTGAAGTCGTTATTGGAACAAATAAATGGTTGGAATGCCGACTTTCTCATTCACGAGAAAAGTTGTCTATATGAACATTAAACAAAATGTTCAAAAAACTGAAATATGTAGGTAAACATGAGATGGTTTGTTGTACTCTCATAATCCATATTTATATTATAAATGTGGAAGTGATTTTGTTTTTTTGGTTTGTTTGTTACGCTTTCACGCCTAATCCACTAAACCGATTTTAGAATTTTTTTCACCAATGGAAAGCTAAATAAAGGCTACTTTTTACTGTGATAACCGACACACACGCGGGCCGAGGCGCGGGCAAAAGCTAGTACTTAAATATTTCGTAGGAAATAAGTGTAATTATGAGTAAACAAAGTTAAATTGAAATTTACTTTCAATGTATCGTGTCTTATAAATATTTATTAAATTACAACTAGTATGAATATTTACATTTGTGATAAATCTTTGCAACATAAAAAATAGAAGAACTCGCAATTTTGCGCAACTTTGGTCAGACTAATTAGAACATAAATTAGGTAGATGTTAACTCACATTGAATAACTTAATAGTCTTTTGTTTGACGCCTTTGTTTTAGTTTTTTTTTCGGTTCATTTAACTATCTTCCGCATTATACTTTATTATATTTCATATATTTGAAACACAAGTTAGATGTATACCTACATAAACGTATATGTGAAGAGTACAATATGTATATTGACTTTGCTTGGATCGTTTGTTAAAGTTTTTAACATTTTCAGTGGTTTTCAAGTTTTTCAATATTTCAAATATATAGGTATAAACTAGTCCGAGTGCTATAGTTTCATTTAAATATATACATTACAGAGTTTGGTTCGATAAAGTTACGCAATACTGAATTAATATCTTTATGTAACGTTCTTCACACATGTTCTATTAGTATAGAGTTACGTCTAATATATATTACATAACAATAAAATAGTATGAATGTATACATTGTATACATATGTAAATATTGTTCAAGCTGTGCTATACTCGTTTTTTTGTTAATGTTTAGTAACTGTTCAGAGCGGTTCCCTTCTCTCGTCTAACATGCCTTGCGTTTGCGACATACATACGAGTTCGCTTGTCTAATAGTTGGGTCAAGGAGTTTTAAAAATCACTGACTCACTGACTGCTTAAATCGTTCCCTTTGTTTAACACCAGACTTTTTCGGTCGGCGTCTGCAGAACTTTACACATACGATTCTACTAAGAACTTCATTAAACCTATAAATGACGCAGGAAGTTTTATTAAAAAACAAACAACTTTAACAACCGCAACACATGATAATATCATTTTTATTATTATTTTTTATTAAATTTAGTTTATTTTCATTATTATTCTTTATCGGGCCACGGATGTGTTCAAAATGTTACAAGGGTTAAGTTGAAAAGTCATTAATATATAACATGATGCAGTTGGCTCTATATCGAATTCGTTTTCGATTAAGAAAATGATCGTTTTACAATAAAATGAATTGATGTGATATTCTGTTATTGGATATCCAATCACTCAAGGGTTATTTTGTTTTTTGTTTAATTAGAAATCTTTTAATTTGAGACGAGGACGATGATACTACTGAAACGTGGTCTGTGAAATCCTAGGATAGATAATTTGTTCCTTAATAAATTTAAAGGGAGGCAGCTTTTTGTTTAGTTTGCCTATATATTTTAAAGAGTATAAAGCAAAACTTTTAACCTTTACATTTCAGCCTCTTTCCTTCTATTCTACGTTGTTCTTGTAGTTCTTCTTTATGTCATAAAAAACCTAAATAAATCGATACTATAACTTCTGAAACGATACATTGATTATCGAATAGCGATACATAGAATGCCATCACGTAGCTTTCTTAAGTTATGAACTTATACTAATTAATACTTTTTTATTTTCAGCTTTATAGATATTCAAGCACAGCCGAGTATTGGGTTTACGATATAGAGAAAAAGTAAGTTGCACTTATAAATATGAGAAACCATAGATTTAGTAAACCAATTACCTAATTAATGTCCATAGAAAAAGTGTTACCCTGTTTATCGTGCGCACATTCTTCTAAAAAGAGGTACCCTTTTATAAGCATGTAGATAGAACAGATCCATGAGGACGACCTCCTCGCGAATTAGAAATGCCAAATTATGTTTACGTAAACTGCCGGACTCTGACTGCGCGTATGAGAATTATCGGGCGCTCAAGATGGTTGGTTATGGTTAAGTTGGTTCACCTTGAAAAAACAGTGTCCATTCAAAGCTAGAGGATCTTGCACTTTCGGCTGGTGTTACAAGCACTTATCTGCACTAGACCATGTCAAACCCAGAGATGCATAAAGAATAAAACCATAATTTATATCAATATAAATCACATTATACTTTATCATAATGTATAATTTATTTTTCTTTAGGACAATCAGCAGAATCGGACAGGGTATCGTACAAGTTGTCATTTGGGGTAAGGGACGATCATTGGCGTACGTGCAAGACAACAATGTGTACTACGTGCCTGACGCCAGAACACCCCATATCACGTATGCACTCACTAAGGATGGCGTTCCAGGGGAAATATATCATGGGGTTCCTGACTGGCTATATGAGGGTAAGACCAATATATATGTATATGTTACGCTCAAAGAATGTGAACTGAACGTGAAAAATGTAAAATCAATCAAATGTGAAAAAGCTCAATTAGTGAAAGAACAAAACACATCGCGTTGTGATAACTGTAAAATATCCATATCGCAAAATTCATTTTATGGGTCTTATGAAATCGCTAGCAACGCGCTGTGACAATCACAGAAAGACTACATAGTGCACTTCCTGTCATGGCTATCAGTTTATAGGATGATAACGCATTGTGGCACTGAAGAAATAGCCATACATATTATATTTAAGTATGTCAAAGTCATCTAGTAAGTTTTGATAACTCACGATATCGTGTCAAGATTGATTTGTTTATTCACGGAGTGTAGATTCAATGTGTCGTAATATAAGGCCAGATTAGTTCTAGCGATTACCTAAACATGAACATTAGATTACCAGTTCAGGGTTTTATATATGCGTGTACGCGTAAAAACGCATGCATGCATGCAACGCAACGATGATTATTTTGATCGCTGCAATTTTTTAGTTTTTCGATGAATGTGAAATCAAAAATATTAAGGAATACATTAATAGCAGTTTTTAGATCATAGATTATATTGTCCACATTATATGCAAAAGGACATTTACAGTTAAAGCAATGAGCCTGCGAAATCTGTACCGAATCATGTTAATGCCGAATCAGTAATATACGGAAGAGTAAATAAAGGTGCTCATAAATTATAGCAAACAACTATAAATAATGATCGTTATAGTGTTTATTGACGTTTAACATATAGGCATACCGAGTGTCACCTCTCCTATTCATCTCGTGGGTGTTGTAAGAGCCGACTAAAGGAGCAAACTACGCAGGACAACATCACTGCAAAGAGAAAGAAAATTTTACGCAAACCCTATAGCAACCCGTCTTGCCAGCGTGGAATAGTAGGCCAAAAGCGAGGTCTCTGTCCAGTAGTGGACTATCAAAGTCTGTTGATGTGATGATGATAAAAACCCTTTTTTTAATATTTTTTTTCCATATTGTAATTGTCATATTGAAATTAGAGATAATAACAACTCAATTAAATCATCTGAGTCTTGACTGGTTGTCCCACTATCAGTTAATGCATTATTTTGATTAAATTGCAATCTTCAAGCTACTCTTGCAGTACCGCGCGAAATTATAGTTGTCATCACAATGTATTGTATAATGATTACACCTTGAAGACATTTTACACGCTGTGTATCCATAACATGTAATGAAATTTGTCAATTTAATTTCATATTATCGCTTGAACTTTCCTCTTATCGTGTTATTTAACGCATAGCGTAGTGTCATGACATAATCTGTATAAGTAGTCCAGCAATTTTATAATTCTTGATAGCTATCTTATATCTCATAGTCACAATATCTTTATAATTTCAGAGGAGATGTTCAGTGCACCTGATGCGATGTGGTTTTCTGAAAATGGAAAATTTCTGGCAGTGGCAACTTTTAATGATACCAATGTTGATTCTACCACCTTTCCTTTTTACGGCCAACCGTCTGACTTCAATAATCAGTATCCAGAAATAATCAAATTCAAGTACCCAAAGGTATTTTTTTTACAAAGTGAATTTTCTTTCATCAGGAGAAAAACGTGGCACGTAATCGTGAGGACGAGTTGCAAAGATAATCTTTGCTAATGACTCTTATACATGCAATAACTATTTATGATTGTAATAATTTGAAATCAAAATTAATATTGTATTAACCTCAAGACACCCAAAATAATTACTAACAGAAATTTCTTCGTCAGGCAGGTCGGCAAAATCCACTTGTAGCGCTTCGTGTTTTCAAATTGGACGATGTCTTTCAAGAACCCTGGAATATCCCAGCACCAGTAGATATAGTAGGAATTGATCATTACCTGGGCAGAGTAAATTGGGCTTCAGAACAGAGCTTAATCGTTCTGTGGCTGAACAGACGACAAAATATAAGTGTTCTTATAAACTGTGATCTAGAACGTGATAAGTGCAGCATAGTTACCGAACGTACAGAACCAAATGGATGGATTGATGTCAAAGAACCATTCTTCGATAAATCAGGACATAGAATGGTTGAAATACAAAATTTGTATAATGGTGATCAAAGGTTCCCGCATGCAGGTCGATTTAATTTCTTATCTTTGACAACAGAAGATTTGAGTCCTGGAAATTCTACAGTAACAGAAATACTTGGGTGGAATCAGGAAACGGATACAATTTACTACATTGTATCGCCAGGCAATATTCCATGGACAAGACAAATATGGGCGACATCGGGAGGTGTTGTAAGATGTGTCAGTTGTAGGGAACCGTCTTGTCATTATGCATCAGGAACTTTCTCACCTGGAGCTAAAAATGCTGTGATTACGTGTAGTTCCAGTTTCTCTCCACCTAAGATTTTCTTATATAACAGTCAGGTAAGTGCTTTGAAATGTAAAACATTGTTATATATTTGTCTATATTCCGATATTTAATTTTAACACCGTTGGTATGGAGGAAGTGGAACTTAGACGTGGAAGATTTTACACGCATAAGATTGAGATTTCATTAATTTTATGTTTGCCTTATTTTACAGAAGGATCATTTCAAGTTAATCAAAGACAACAGCAGATTGAAAGAGAAATTAAGACAGTACAAATTACCAATGATGTTGTTTAATGTAGTGTCATTAGGAGACACTATGTTGGGACATGTGAAATTAACCCTACCACCAAACATGCAGTCAGGAGTTAAATACCCTTTGGTGGTGCGAGTTTATTCTGGGCCAGGCACTAGCAGAGTCAAAGACAACTTTGATTTAGGTATGTCTGGTTTATTAAGACAATATACTAGGTATGCTTGCCCCCTAACTTCGTGTTCATATATATATTCAAACTTCATTTGCGATACCGTTATTATTTCTCCCACTATAAATGTAAACGAAGTACCTCCTTATAACTTAAATTGTACGGAGTTAAGGTAAAAACGTATTTGCTACAATACATTCTGAAACGGTTACAGATACTTTTAACAATATCATTTTTCAGTTTTGTTTTTGTGTCCAGTAACCATATAATTTTTCGAAATCTACCGATTTTTTCAAATATTTAAATTTCGTGTACATCCATGACGTGTAGTTTAATTACATTATCAAATGTAAGCAACGAACAGGTAGTAATCAAATACAATTTTTCAATTAGTCGCTAACATTGATAAGCCAGGGTCTATATTTCATTCATGTCAATTGCAAAACATTACTAGTTTTCATGTGACATAATCAATGTCTATTATCAATTTAATTAGGAATATAGTATGAAAAAATAACAATAAATAATCTAATGTTCGACATTAATTTATTAATTTAAATAGGTGCTTATTAAAAATACTTTTATATTTATATATATATATTCATATGCCCTGACTGAATTGCCCAGCAACAGCAGGTTCGAGTATCACGGAGTTTGAATTCATCTGTATAAGCTATTTCTTCTAATGCTATTCTCTAATTATCTTATCTAAGTTTGCGTTTCGTTTCTATGGACGTCTGAGGCAGGCCGTCGAGGTGACTGTTAGTGGGAACCACATGCTCTTTCTACCCAATGGATTTTTCTCCCCGAAACAAAAATGAGGCTGACCTATTATTACATGAGATGGACCAAATTATAGTTCCAACTCCAAATCAAAATGTGTGCTCTAAATGCACGTCTTTCACCGTTTTAGGGATATATTAACTGAAATTATGTGTAATCATTGATTTTATTCTAATGAATATCTAAAAGTAAAAAAGTCCAGAAAAGTCTTTTACTAGAAAAGATAAACGTATTTATATATAATATGTACTCGTACAATGTGTCATGTACAATGTCTGTATTCGGAAAGGATACGTCAGTTTTTAGTTAAACTGTTGCATTTGTTTATAAATTACGTAATACTCATAGAATTAGTTTAAAGTCAATTACTTAAGTAAATATTTTACTCTAATTTGGTTTATTAACGTGTGTTACAAGTGTATCAATGAGATATTATCTATTGCACGGATGGCGTAGTGGTTTAAGAGGTCGCCACGCCGCTTCCTACTACGCCGAGTGTGGTGGGTTCGATCCCGACATGGGACGACACTTTGTGTGATCCACAAATTGTTGTTCTGAGTCTGGGTGTTCTTTGTGTCCGTTTCATGTATGTTTGTATGTCTGTCCAGTATTTACGTAATTATGTAATTACCACATTCCTAAATTACATTCCGCATAAACTTGTTTAAACTTCTGACTGGCCTGAAAACCACTGACCTATCAACAAAAAAAGGTTTAGATTATTAGAATAGAATAGACTAGTATTTATTGTGCACCAACAATTTTTTGTTCTTTTACAAGAGTATATCAAATTAATTAACATGCTCAAAATGGCTGCGTTATCGCTAAACAGCAATTTCCTGCAGGCAACCTGTAATACTTAGATATTAGATGCTTCCAATTTTACAAGTTTTAATGAAAATAATGTTGTATTAAAATTTCCTTGTAGACAAATATTTAATGATCTTCAATCATTCCATTCTTCGTAAATCAAAAACCACTGTTTCCTTAATCATTAACAACTTATAAATATTGATAATTATCAATATTTTCCTGCCTTTTTTTTCCGTGCGGAAATCCCCTTGAATACTACCTACCTATAGGTATACATAGGTGGCTATGTCGGACTCGAACCGACTAAAAACCGCACGCCGTCTCGGGCACCAGTAGCCGGGGAACCAGGTGTACCCTAGAAAGGAAATCCCTGGTACCCCGACGTACCCCGGGGCATCAACGGCGGATAGATGACCCCCTCCTGTATGAGAACCCCCATATTCCCTTGGTGCTCCTCTCTCCCCTTTTGGACACGCGCGCTCCTCAGCGCGTCTCGCCGCCACCCCGGCCTGCTTCTGCTAGGGTGACAGATGGCCTCACCTGTAACCCCAAGGCGTGCGCCTATGGAGGACGGAGGTCGTTCTGCGACCTCCGGCGCCCGAGTCGTCTGCGGTACCTGGCCCGTTCCCTGGCCTGGCGGGCCGGGAGAGGTCTAAACCTCTCCCGGTCCCGCTCAGCCATCTCCTTCGCAAGCATAACTTGCTCGCAGAAGGAGACGGCGGAGTTCCACGCACTCTCGCTTCGTACCATGGCGGTAATCATACTACCGAGCGAGAGGACTCCCACTCCGATGGCCACCACGAGGTCACGCCTCTGCTCCACCCACGCCGGGTATTCTGCCAACGTGTGGAGGGCCGTGTCCACGGTCCGGCCATCGCAGTAGTGGCACTCAGGTGTTGGCTCCTTGCGGATCAGACACAGGTGATCTTCGAAACAACCTTTCCCGGTAATTACCTGCGTCAGCCGGTATGAAAGGGTTCCGTGACGCGACTCGAGCCAATCCTCCATAATGGGTCTTACCGCCGCAATAACGGCGTGCCCGGCGCTCGGTTGCCCAAGTCGTTCCTTCCACTCCTCTACGAGGACTCGGTGGAGTTGGGATTTCTGGTCCTCGATTTCTCGAGTCTCAAAACTCCAACCCAACTCCCGCGCCTCCTTGCGCCACTGGTATAGTGCCGCAAGGGCTCTCGCCTCTAGGTCCCACGGTGGAGTTCCGGCCAGGAGACTCGCCGCCTCAAAGGAGATCGTGCGGTATCCCCTTATGATCCTGATGGCCAGAACTGGAGCCCCATAAAGGGCCATGGACCGCACAACCCCCGAGTAGAGTCTCCTGCCTATCTTCCACTTTTATTGCAGTTGACGCAATGTAAAAAATAGCCAAGTGTTTTGAGTGATTTCTTTTACGCCAAACTTCCTTGGAATGTTATCATTTGTCATTTTCAGACGACACAGACAGAGAAAGAAGATTGGAGTAAGAAAAATGGATAGGATGAGGGAAGTAGTGTAAAGGATGCTGTAGGTCCCGTATGGGGAAACCAAACCAAGACTGTTGTGTCTCCAAGCGGTCCCTAAGACAAGGACATTAACAGGCTAATGCTTTATAATTATCATCATCATCATCATCATCAACAGCCTTTCATAGTCCATTGCTGGATATAGAACTCTAATTAGACATGAGGTTTTGGTTTTGGTAACGCTGGACAGATGGGATGGAGAGGATTTCTGTCAAGTTTTCCTTTTCTTTGCAGTTCTGTTGTCCTGCGTAGTTTGCTCCTTTAGTTAACTCTTGCGACACTCACGGGATGAATACTACAACCCGGATATTGTTTGTTATAAATATTGTAAATGTCTATCTAGCGTAATAACTAGTATTAAAAAACAGTTATTCAGCGAACAAACTAAATCAGAATAATTGTGAACACGAGTCATAGGATATGCACCAGAAGTTAATGACGATGCCGCCTCAGCAATTTCGGAACTTATTCCAGAACTTTCGCTCTGAACGAAACTTTATCTATCTACAGGGCCTCCATGCACTATGTTTTGGAAGTTATAGCTGTGTGTAACTTCATTACATGCGTGTATTTTTATTGTTAACATTAGACGAATTAGTGATCGTTTCCATCTTATGTTATAATAGACGTAGTTCAACACTGGTTCTCACAAACACATTCTTCCTTGGCGAGAATGCGAATTGGATACCGTGGGTATACTTTAAGCGATTGTAATTTTACTGTTGCGAAACTAACAATTGCTATTCTATGAAGTTCCCTGTAACAGTAAAAATGTAGTTACTTGAAATATATGTTCTCCAGGAGTCGGTTCCTGGTTGCTAAACATTTCTTTCATTTGTCATTTTTCAGTCTTTTACGTCATGTCTCAGATTAATAGCTTCAGAAATAAATATGTAGTATGTTTATTTACAACTCAGTCAAAGCAAATTATTATAAGTATACTTTTCTTTTTCCAGAATATTACAATACATATTTAGCGAGCAACAGAAGTTTTATTGTGGCTGCTATCGATGTACGCGGCTCAGGAGTTATGGGCGTTGAAGCGATGCATGCCATTAACAACGCCCTTGGAACAGTTGAGGTTACTGATACTTTGGCTACTATCAGGTAAGTTATGGAAAGATATACAGTATGGACGTTAAGACATAATTTACAATTAAGGAAGTAGAATGGGTGAATCAAATAACATCCATTCTACTTCTTTAAATATTTTTTTTTTAATGAAAGACAACTCCCGCATTAGGAATATATCGCCCACTTGCGACGACAGTGTGACATCTCGAATTATACGATTTTTCGTTATGTTGATATTTTGAATCGACATCTCGCGTTCTATTATTTACAAAAACAGGATATTTTTTGCTACAAAAATAAGAAAGCAAATGAGAGAAAGAGACACAATACCACAGTGTAGCGCTGTATCGTTTGGTGATCTAGTTGGCTTCGAAATAGTGGCAATTCAGTTGTGACCTGAGCTTCGACGTGTAAAGTGCTCTCGGTTTTCATGAAATACGTGACATCACGATGTTACCACGATTTAGCCGATAAAGGTGAGTCTCTTGTTATAATTTTATTTTATTCGATAGTGTGGCACGTCATACCAATCACAGTGTTCTTGTAAAAAATCAAGGGAAGTGAACGAGATACGTTTTTGATGTCATGTTTTTCTTGTAAGAAATCCACGGAATCACCGCGTCATTTTGAATTGTAACGTTGTTACGATGATACATATTTCTCTTATACTGGAAATATGTTGTGGGTCATTTGTCGATGTTCGATTGTTGCAAAATACATATTGATAAAATTTAATGGTATGTTCACTTGCCACGTACAAAACAACAAAAATACTAAACAACAATATAAATCTCCAGTTATCTTTACAGTTGGGGACAAGGTCTAAACGAATCTTGCAATCAGCACAAACAAAAATTAACGAAGATTTGCTTAATAGCAACCTAATTGCTCGTAACAATCCGGGTCTAAATGATGGTAACGAGGATGAAACATTTGACCAGCAACAAATGACACAAACTTATCTCCATCGCAGTGTATCAACGAGTTCACTTTCTCCAAGTACCTCGTCTAACAGCTCTTTAAGTTCTTCATATTTCACTGAGGATTCTAGAAAAACGCCGACTAGTGTTTTTGCTCACAGCTATCGAAACAGTATCGTTATGTGAGCGATTATGTTTTGACAGCTGTGACAGTCAGTACACGACAAACCAAGAAGGGAGGTTAGACATCGACTCCGTCATTTTTACTTTCAATGAAAATCGAATCAATCCACCTGACACTATGAGTACCGAAAATGAATAGCCTTCAAATAAGCCTAGCATCGTCACCGCAAGAGAATCTAAAAGTTCTCCAACTACTGTTGAAACTCTTTTTAAAAAAGGAGAAATGAGGCCAACACAAGAAAAAAATTGGAAGAAGAATATTGTAAAGAAATTAAAAATAGAAATAGTGGGAAACCTCATCTCATTAGTAAAAACACTAAAGGATGTTTCAGAACGAAGACTTAAATCCTATAAAGAAGTCTGTATATTTAAATGCTACGCAAATATAACGGTAATTCAACGACAACATCTTTTGAAAGAGTACTGGGATTTGGGTGAAATTAGTGAAATTAGTCCTTAGAAGAGATAAAACCAGCCCATCGATGTGTCAGGATTGATTCGGACAATGACGGAACAATAACACCATAATACAAAAACAATAATGCTTAATTTTTTTATAGTATCTGGAGTTAAGATCAGAGTTTGTAAAACCCTTTTCAAAAACACTTTGAACATAATAGACCTTAGAAACCGCCCAAAACAAAGATTAAAAATACAAACATTTCTTTGATTAAAAACTATCGTGGATGACACAAAAATCATGCCCATGTTGACGAAATTATAAAAAGAAGCATTGCTTTGATGTTGCAACATACCTTACAACCTAACTTTTACACAGATCTAAGACAATACTAAGCAATCATACCTAATAGTTTACATTAGTGCCTAATTAAATGACTAATAATGCCTTTAATTATAGTAAAGTTTATTTTTGCCGTCGCTCTTTTTTGTTTGTGTGAAAGAAAGAAGCGTCTTACCAATTGTAACATTTTTTATGGGTCAAAGTGTAAATAACGTATGATTGTAACAGTTATCACTATGTTGAATGATTCAATTATTCCTACAATAAAAGACAGATTTTCAGGAATAATGTTTTGTTTGATAAAGCTTAGTTAATTGTCAATTTTTACATTATCTTCAACGCAACAACTAAACTTACCAGCTTGTAAAATTCCTTTTTTTCTGGAACAACGTGATAAGTTTTCCTTTTTTTTTAAACTCTATAAAGGAAATAAATTTGTTCCAGATGTGTTTATCTTTTTGGCATTTCATTTCATTGTTAGCTATACTCCTCCTCAAGGTCAAATTCTTGCACTCACGATGATATAAACACGAAAAAATCTTCAAACAACAAAATCGTGTTTGAAATGAGTTTTTACTTTTTACAGGAGTTTGGCTAGTGTATATTCGTTCATCGATTCAGACCGCATTGGCGTATGGGGTTGGAGCTATGGCGGGTTCATGTCAACCATGATGCTCATTCAAGACAAGGAGAAAATACTAACCTGTGGGGCTGCTGTTGCTCCAGTTACCTCTTGGCTTTATTATGGTAAGGTAAAAACTAGGGGTATTTGTTCAGTAGTCCTGTCCCTTATAGGGGGCTTTAATGTTTAAATTGATTTGCATTGTTGTTATAATTGTTGTTTAATCCAGGTTAGAAACGATCACTCAGTCAGTTTTTAAGATATACACTAGCTACTACTAGCGCGATACAGGATTAGTAGTTACTCCCTAGTTCGGTGTGTCTTCGTTAGATGGCACTGAAGGATGTTTTTTTTTGTTATTTAGAGGTCGCTCACTATGCGAATTCAGCATGAGAAATTTAATTACGAGTATTACTTCCAGACACTATGTATACCGAACGTTACATGGATACGCCGCAAGCGAACCCTGATGGCTATGAGCGTTCGGATCTAATGAAACAAGTGGAGAAATTACGCGGTCGCCGGTTCTTGCTCGCACATGGCACCGACGATGACAATGTGCACTTTCAACACAGCATGCTGTTGGCGAAACAACTGCAGCACAGCGATATAGATTTTGAACAAATGGTTAGTACTGTATAAACAGTCCTTTACTTTTATAATTACTAACTACTATCACTTAAAGTAACTAACGAATCAATGTTAGTCTTAAACTTTTAAAATATTGTAATGCGTGTGAAAGACTATAGATGAGATACTTACTTATTTATATCCTTTTCCGTTTTAACCTTATGCCTATATTGACTCATAAAATAGCATCTGTTACACACCTAGACACCTGACAGACGAACGAAGTTGCAAGTTGCTTTTATAATTGAAAACTCCTCCGTCCACTAGAAGTACCTGCTTTAACCCCTAGAGGATCCATTCCTATTTTTCGTTCACATAAATTCCCCTATTAAAAGATCTCCTGCGGGATTTATTCGCCTGAAACCAGTATTTGTGAAAAGCGGAGTTACACTAATGAACCTACAGGGATGATACTACTTCCACGCTTATTGATAGTTGAAATGAAACCTTTGTCTTTTGTTGGATATGTTGATAAAGTCGCACTTCTCTTATTTATTAGCGAGGAAATTAACGAAATGTCCATTTATTTCCTTACTTCTATTTACTAATCACTAACAACGTCATAAAATCTTAAATCTTCTTTTTGTTTAAGCATGTCATGTAATTTACCAAACTAAATCTTGCTTACATTAAATTTTTCATTTTCATAGAGTTATACAGACGAGAAGCATTCATTATTGGGTGTAAGCAGACACTTCTACCATATGCTGGATCGCTTTTGGACGCGATGCTTCAACCATGACTGAGAGCAAACCGATAGACTGAAACGCTAAAATGCAAATTAGTCAGTAACGTGCAAAACAATTACGATAAATAAGGATGTAAATTGTGATCTCTAATACTATTCTGAATGAAAGCCAGGAATCTCTAGTTTTATTATATATTATCGGTTAATTGTAAGCATAATATGTATTTGGTGTTGTAATCTATAAATGATAAAATAGTATGTTGTTGTGTTCTTTGTTTTATTTATATGTAGTATTAAGTAAAAATATTTTGTGTTGATCAATAAGAAACTTTCAGCAAGAGTATTGTGTTGTTGTCTAACGTTTAATACCTCCTTAAAGGAATCCTTTTGCAACTAACGCCTTTTGCTGGCCTGAGGGTAACGGTGAGGTTAGCCGAAACTCTAGCAGAAGCAAGCCTGAGATAGTGGCGCGACGTATTCAGAGGCAAGCAAAATGGGTTTTCGGGGATTTCTTTCCCTTGTAATAACTCATAACTCATGAAATGAAATGATATTTATTCATATAAGTAAATCTTTTCCGATATTTTTACAAGTTGGTCTTAACAGCTAGATGGAGCCGGCATTTCCTCACTCACTCTGGGAAGAAGCGCCGAAATAAACCACAGAGGTGTCTTTTTCTTTTATAGTCCGTAAATAAAGTTAAAAAAATCTGTGCGAGTACAGTGTAGGGTCTGGGTAGGCCTTTTAAAGAAAGGACCATAGTTTTGAGTAGGCCTGTCAGCTGTAGAACCCCAGCCATCGTGTAGCCTAACCGATATTAGTCCAGATCAACGACCCGAAGCCCGACACTACAGTCAGTAGGACATTTGAGTAGGCGGAGAAAACACTTAATACCATCAGAAAGTTACTAAATATGAACTAACATTACAAGCCTACACTATACTCACATTTACATACTTACAAAAAAACACTTAAAGCCCAATGAAAAAATTAACAAATTGAAAACAAACGAAACACATAACGGGAGTGAGCAGCATCAATCCTAAGAAAAAATTTCATCTAAATAATCTTTAACAAGCCTTTTCACATAATTTTTGTTTTATTAAAGACTTTTTGTTAATACTTAGGTCATGAAATTGGCTTGGAATTTTATTGTAGAATCGCACACCCTAAGATCGAAAACACTTGCTTACTTTTTGTAGTCTAGTGGTTGGTAACACGAGTTTATCTTTATCTTTGACGACCGAATGGCGTAGTGGTTTGTGTAACGGACTGCTATTCCAAAGGTCGCGGGTTCGATTCTTTCTCAAGTCAAACATTTAATAGTAAAGTAATGTTTGATTTGGTCTGGGTGTTTGTATGTATTATGTATGTTGTGTATGTATTGTATTATATTTCTATTTTTTTTTTTAAATGTCGCTAAACTTTGTGAATAAATGAATACTTATTTTTCTTTACATACAATACTCGTAAATTTTTATAAATGTACTGAGAGGCGACTGTTATGATACCAATTTCTTTAAACTTATCATAATATAATAGCATAATATTACAAAGCATATAGATTTTAAAAAAGATTTTATGTTATAAATTGCGTGATTTAATTTATTACCAAAGTCCTGCGGTAGACTTGTAATTAATTTTTACAGTTAAATCAGCTTCGATGGAAGGTATTGCTAAAGCTGGCAGTCGGACTACTTGATACTGTTTATTAAATAGTTTTAATCATTTTTAACTTAGAAATACTTCTTTCTGCGGAAGCTGTACTTACAAGTACGTCAGATACGTCTCTTCAATAAGATTCTATGTCCTTGCTTTCTTCATCTTGAAGTACTACACCTAAATCGTTACATGCTTAAAAAAGCTTATAATGCTTCAAAAGCTCGTTATTTAGCAAAGATTTTAAACTATGTCGTGCAGGAATCCAAAATTGTTTTAATATTAAATGTTGTGTTAATGTCTTGTATTACGGTTGAAGAAAGGAAGACGTTGTCCGTCGGAGTTGGCGAGAGTAATGTTGGCATTTGTCTTGACATAGTCAAAGCTTTGAACCTCCCCTCGTGGTGGGTGATTAGGAAGGCATGCCTGCGGGAAATCTTCAGGGCATATTTTCACGACAGGTCCATATCGTATATGGTTCGAGACGGCGAAGAATGTTTAAGGGAACCTCCCTTACAAGTAGGGTTCCAAGGCGTCTTTCCTAAGATCTCTTCTCTTGAACCTCGCTCATTATGCAGTCCCAAGAACTAGTCTTTCCCTAGAAGTAAATGTCGTCTGTTATGCGGTGGAGGACGCCCAGGTGGCCGAATTAGGGGTAGTTTGTGTCGCCCAAAAAATCAGCGGTCTGGGCCTACGGTTAGCGCGCCATAAGGCGGCATCCCGTATTTCGGTCTCACCCTGGACTGTCGCATTTTGCGCGGATTATACCCCAATTTCTCGGGGTGGCAGCCCCCTACAGAGGCTGCTGTCTAATCTAGGGGATCCGTGGGATGATATTGTGTGATACGATCCATGGCCCTCTACGGAGCGCCGATATGGGCTAAGCGCCTATCGGCTTCCTCCCACTGCCGAACTCAGCTCAATCAAAGCGGGTAGCGGCGATTCGGATCGTACGAGAATACCGCACCATCTCGTTGGAGGTGCATGGTTACAGTCCTGGCACTTTTGGTGCCTTCAGATATCCTGGCGGTCGGACACAAGGGTCTACGACCAGACACGTGCTATTCGCCGGGGTGGTAGCGGGGAGGTTCAGGACGGGCTTGAAATGCGGCAACTGCACTGATGGCAAGGCGCGCAGCTGGACCAGCCATGGAATGTGCGCTGTTGGTGGCATTCTACATAACTTCAAAAAGTGAATAAGTAGGGAGGCAGGTCACGTTACCTACCAATTGACGCAGGTTTTCCTTGGGCATAGTTGGGCAGGTTTACCTTAATTAGATCGGACGTGAGTAGACGGCACAATGCCAGTACTGCCAAGCCAACTGGGCAAACCAGTTTTCGCAACAGAAATGTACCGCGTGAGTGTCTAAACGGAGGTCCTGGTAAATCGAATCGGAGGCGATTTGTACCAGCCGGCAATCGTATGAAAACACGGCCGGGCCAGAACATATAGGTAACTGGGCCAAAAGGCGGGGGAAACCTACGGCATCTTCAGGGATAAAACCTAGTTAATACGGGAGGGACCTGAAATCACATGCTCCAGTTCGTCCCAGATTTGAGCACCTGAGGCCGGACGTTGGGCAGATTTTTAGAGGAAACACTGCATACCCCTAACTCCTACTCCAAGGCGCTGGTAACTCAAAGGGTTTTGTACCCCGTTAACAAAAGAATGCCTAATTAGTAGTACCCCAGGGCCCAAAATTTACGATCCGCCCCTGCTCATAGCTATTTTTATTATGCCTAAAAAGTCTCGTTTTCCGTCAACCTAACGGTCACGGTAAAGGTAGTAAAGATCTTGCAGTCGCACTTAAGATCGGGCTTCTTGGGAGGCTCGAAACAAACACACTTCGAGTATAAATATGATCAAATTAATTAGTCATCTGTATTAAAGCCTTGGGCATTGCGAAGCCGTGGGCGTCGGCCCACTTCACCCACGCCTAGCTATACCACCGGTCGGCGGTGTGGCCTGCGAAAAACTCAAGTAAAATAAAAATATTCAAAAGGTATCTGTTCTGAGTATAGAGGAGAGGATACCTACCAAAAAAACTGAAATAATTATTCAAATATAGCTAGAAAGAGGTTCGTGTCAAAGATAAAGGATTTGTAAATTCCTTAGTCGATGTCTAAAGTTGAACTTTCAGCGTATGACAGTTTTTTTGGCATGTAGTCTTTTGGATAAATCATGAAATTAGGTTGATCAAGTGAAAGTCCGCAATTATTTATATGGCAGTTACAAAAATTATTTGTAGGAATTTTTTACTTATAACAAAACAATGGCACGTCACTCCGAGAAGATGGTAAATAAAAAATAAAAAAATTGTATGAAAACAATGACAACATATCATTACTGGGTATTAATATAATCTTCACCTTCGATTTGCCGATGACATCGTAGTCATGGCAGAATCGCTGGAAGACCTGAGACAAATGCTCGCTGACCTTGACGGAGTTTCTCAACAGATCGGTCTTAAAATGAACATGGACAAGACGAAAATCATGTCGAATGTCCATGTCGCGCCGACTCCCATAGTCGTGGGAAACTCTGTCCTCGAAGTTGTTGACGAATATTTCTACCTAGGACAAACGGTCCAATTAGGTAAGTCCAACTTCGAGAAAGAGGTCAATCGTCGAATCCTACTCGGCTGGGCAGCGTTCGGGAAATTAGGAAACGTCTTCACGTCCAAAATACCTCAGTGCCTAAAGACGAAATGCTTCAACCAGTGTGTGTTACCAGTGATGACCTACGGAACTGAGACGATGTCTCTTACTACGGGCCTAATCAGAAAGCTCAGAGTCGCTCAGCGTGCTATGGAAAGGGCTATGCTTGGCGTTTCCCTGCGTGATCGAATCCGCAACGAGGAGATCCGCAGGAGAACAAAGGTGGTCGACATAGCCCAACGGATTAGCGCGCTCAAGTGGCAATGGGCAGGGCACATAGCAAGGAGAACTGACGGCCGATGGGGCAGCAAGGTTCTCCAATGGAGACCACGTACTGGAAAGCGCAGTGTGGGACGACCGCTTACCCGATGGACGGACGACCTGGTAAAGGTTGCCGGAAACCGTTGGATGCAGGCCGCAATCAACCGTCCCCGCTGGAAATCATTGGGAGAGGCCTATGTCCAGCAGTGGACAAGCATAGGCTGAGGTATAATATAATCTTGTTATTAACGTATATTTGGAAGTGTTTAGGAGCATTGGTATACTTTTCTACACTATAAGCAACCCTTATACGTTAGTGTAGTAATAAATTTGTTGATGCTGAATAGTTATACTCCAATTTTTTCTCGACGTAGTTTTTCTCCAGTGATGCCGTTCGACTGTGGGCCCAATTTGGAGAACAGAGGTATATGCGCCGTCGATCCATGTGATGCTAATAAATGTTTTGAAGAACCTCGGGTCGTTATCATCGGAGCAGGCATGGCTGGTCTCTCCGCAGCTGCCCGACTCTCTCAACGAGGCATTAGTAACGTAGTAGTTCTCGAAGCTTACGAGAGGTTAGCAAATAGTTATATATTAAGAATATGATAAATGACACTGATGATGATGAAAAATATTTAAAGTTCAAGATTTGTACACTAATATTCAAACTCTAAACGTAGACAAACAAAATTGAGATTATTTTTTTATCACCTAGATTTGCGTTAGTCTGCTTTTCAGGAATAAAACGTATTTTTTTGTAAATATGTATGTCACATCACAGATCTTATATTTTTCTTGCGTTTTTTCTTTTTTGCGACGCATCTATCTTGCGTCTGCCTCTGACGGACACCTGAGTAACAATAGAGCATGCATTGGTGCTAGCGCTTAAACAATTTTTTATAATAGCACCTTGGATTAGCGCAGGTTAAATCTTCTCCAGTAAGTTCGCGTTCTACTTTTTAAGAGTTCTATTAGATAAAATGTTCCAAATTAAAATTTCATTGATCGCATGCGCCTATATGAAATAGAAAAATGAAAAGCAAGACGATAAATGCACCTACCTCATTCTTTCTCAGCACCGCCCAATCGGTCGACTGGCAGAGAATGCCTTAGGCATTAAGTCCGCCGATGCATGTACTTGTGCAAAAAGTTAAAAATAAAAATAAAAATAAAATATTAAGACTGACTAGTGTATAAATAACTCATGACATACTTAACCTGTTTTTTAAGTACTTTGTTTCACGACGTTTAATGTAATTATTAGTAAGTTATTACCAAATTATACTAACGATTAAAGTAAATAATTATTTACTTCCTCTCGCTGTAAATAAGTTCATCTCTCTACTACTGTAGAGAGATTAACTCTCATAGTCTATCTTTAATAACAATCGATAGAAATAGATCGGAATCTCCATAAATCAAATATACCCTCAGTAGTTATTTTTGTAAATAATATTTTCCAACTCTTTACAGGCCAGGTGGTCGGATACAGTCATGCTGGCTTGGAGATATAGTTGCAGAATTAGGCTCTCATTGGAAAGCAGATAACGCTATTACACATCCCCTTTATGCTATGTCTACACAAGAAAACCCACCGCGTCCTGGAGTACCTGGCGCTGAACATACGCGAGGTCTCTTTAACAGATTAATTTCAGGAAAAATGCCTTTTCCACCAACAATCAATGCATATCATAAATTTCGTCAGATAGAGCAAGAAGCAGCAGAATTATACTGTCTCGGTGGTAGTAAACAACAAGGTTCTCTAATAAATTTTATGAGTTTGCGAATCCAACAAGAATTGCACAATTTTCCTGAGGATCAACAACATGATGCCGCTAGAATTATGTTTGGACTCTCGCACATGCTCAATGCAAGATGTGGAGGTGATACGGCAATGCTATGTGCCGACCACTGCGGCTGCTTTATGAACATGCCTGGAGGAGCAGTACGTGTTCCTTTAGGATTAGTAGGCATATTGGCTCCATTACTACGACAGATACCAGAAGGAGCCATTCGTTACTGTAAGCCTGTTAATTGTGTTTACTGGGGGACATCTCATAAGTCTGGTCATCGGGCTATAGTTACCACTAGTGATGGAGAAGAATTTCCTTGCGATTATGTCATTATTACTGTATCTCTTGGTGTATTGTATGAGAATGCGGTCAAAATGTTTTGCCCATCACTGCCAGGATCTAAATGCTCAGCTATGCAATCCCTTGGTTTCGGGAATTGTAATAAAATTTATATGGAATACTGTCGTCCTTTCTGGTTTTGGCACAAAGGAAATTTAAACTTTGAATTCAATCGATGCGAACTTTGTTCACATAGAGATTGGACTCGTGGTTTGACTAAAATAGAAGTTGTGCCTAACAGTAAGCATGTTTTATGTGCTATGGTTGTAGGCCAAGAAGCTATGGCAATGGAGGGCCTTTGTGATCGGGATATAGTCGAAGGATTGACTTCTGTTCTACGTTGTTGCACTAACAATCCTTGTATACCATATCCCAGAACAATTCTGAGATCACATTGGAGCTCAGATCCATACTTCCGTGGCGCATATTCTTATGATGCCACAAACTCTGATGGCAATTTACAGCGTGAATTAGCGTGTCCTCTTCCAGGACCTAGTCAACCAATACCTCCGGTACTTTTATTTGCTGGTGAAGCAACAGTGCCGGGCCACTACGCAACAGTATCTGGAGCAAGGTTGAGCGGTGTGAGAGAAGCGGAGCGAATCGTCATATTAACTTGCCGGTTTAAAGGCCCACCTCTGCCGAAAAAAAAGAAAAAGAAATCTAAAAAAGGAGATGAGTCTGACAAAAAAGATGAGTCTGACAAGAAAAGTAGAAAAAAATATTAATCTTTGAAAAAATATTATTTTCCACAGTATTATAAAATATACTTCCTACCTTCGCAGGTTCCTTTACAAGCGAGAAAAATATGTATGTGAAGTTTTGTATGATACTCGTGTTTAATTCCGCCAATACTCTCATCCTGAACTTGCACTAATGTTATTACTAACTTACCTGTGATAACTTCTGCAGAATTTTTATTTAATGATTTAAATTGGAATTGAATTGAAATTAAAATGTTACATCAACTCATTTTTGTAATGTGGTATAATTGCGTAAAAAATTGTTTAATAACGTAGATCTAGGTATTTTCTTGGTAATTATTTTTTTATTAGAATAATATAGGAGAAGATGCACTCAATATAAAAATACCAAAAACAAAACCCAATGTAGTTTAATTTTTCCAAGTTCATTAAATTTATACAATTTTTAGGGGGCCGTTCCTGAAAAGGAAAAAGGAACCCTTTAAGGATTACTTTACACATACATGTAACGTTTTATGTTGAAATTAACATTAAATGCTTGTGGGACGACAAACATTTAATGTTAATTTAAATAAATAAAAAAAATAAGCTTATCAAAAAATACGACTATAAGTTTCAGCCTCAGATTTAATATTACAAACACAGTTTTTAACAAGTTACAAATGAAAAATACAATTGTCTTTACTCGCTATCCTCAGGGATAGTTTTTTTTTTATTCTGTGGATGAAAGGAACTCCTTTTCCACTTTTTGTTTTCTTGTTACATGTGCTCAACTGGGTGCGGTTACCTCGTTACTTCAACTGTCGCTACTCCACACACGATTATCTTAAACTTCCAGTTCAATAAATTCCGTCCTCCAGCCCTATCGGAGATTTCGTACACAAACTTTTTTATCTGACATGTACCTATTGCGTGTACGCAACTGAGCACGAGTATCATAGTTTTTTGGGTTTTTTCATCTGCTACACATCGGATAAACATTTATTAGCAACCGACATGGCAATGTACTTGTATATAATATTATATTTCCTCACGTTCCTACAATACTTCAGTATTAGTGTGATGTTTAAAGTACTTTTTCTGTTAAAATTGCCTTTCCTATGCAACAATGTCTGCATTCATTTAAACTCGGTGTAAATAATAATAAAAGTTTATTTCAGACTTATGGTCCATATTTATGTTAGTATTTTAGTGTTGGTAACAATAGTGCTTAAGTTGATAGGTTAGTATTATTAGTAATTACATTTTACTAAATTTACTATTTGTATAGACCTATGACTGTCCCCACCCATTGTTTCTGGAATGGACAGTCCGGTCTGGCAGCGATCATTTTCAGAATGCTGTTGTCACTGTCATGTATGCGCTGGAGTCAGGAAGTCGTTTTCTTTCGCATAATTGTGTAGAAACCATCTGTGCGAGCCTCCGCGAACATACCCGATGCGCTACAGCGCTGCGGCAGCCCCAACAGCATCCTGAACGCATTATTATATTGAACACGCAGGACATTGTATACCCGTCGCGTGTATGACACCCACAGGCCGTTTGCGTAGAAAGACTGACAAAATGCCCTAAAAAGATGATTACAGACATATACATATTGTATATACACGTATAAATACACTAATTATGCTCTACTTATACATCTTAAACACGTACATCAAATATGCAGGGCACAGTAAAATCAATCAAATCCACCGTTACGTCTCAAATTTGTTTAGTAAAACTATTTTGTTTATATACCCACTTCTTAGTCTTAATAATCTTCGAGTTCGGTTTAAAGCATTTATTTCTCATAAAAAGAACAATACAGCTCACTTACATAATAAGAAAATGTAACAACACAAGACATTACAATTACTGTAATTATAAAAGTAAAGATATAAAGGTACACTAACAACTACATTGGTGTCAGTGCTTTTTTCTAATGTAATCTCCTGAACTTTTAAAAATTTAAACAAGCTTTAGAGTACCTTTTTAACCTTTATCTAATACCTTTACGTTTAATTTAAATATTTAATTAATTAATTAATAACTGGCCTCTAGACATAGATTATTTATAATTTGTGATTTCGTATTTTTGTACTGAACAGCCCCTTTAAGTACAAGTAACAAGAGTGAATCAGTCAGGACTATATGTTTATATACTAAGCCTGTAAGTCTACTGTTAAACTGTCACATATTACTCCGACCATTATAAAGGAGTTGGAGTCCAGTCGATTAACAAGCCCCGTACAATAGACTGGCACAATAGGCTGCTTGTCACAGTACTCGAGACACATATTTGTTTTTGGGTCAAGTACCTTAACAATATATTTTCTTGTTTCATTGGGAATGTGTTTTACTTCCACGATGGATCGTGTAATAATTTTAGCAGAGGTATCGGAATCTGTTACGTCATACGAACTTGCGGAATTAAAAATTTTTATTTGTCGAAATTTTAGAGTCGAACTACAGTTCCTTGAGTAACATCACAAAAATTAAAAAGAAGAAGCTCAACAAGGGAAACGTCTATGAAATAGTCGAAAACAGTATAACGTAGAAATATAAAGAGTGAATAGAGATGTATAGGAGAGAGGAACATTAGTTTTATGTTTTAACCGACTTAAAAAAAAGGGCGAACGTTCACAATTCAGTTGATTTTTAGGGTTCCGTACCTCAAAAGGTAAAAACTAACCCTTATCCCTTAAATGATCTTCACTTTCTTGTCCGCCTGTCCGTCTGTTCGTGTGTCACCACTGATTTTCTCAGGAACGGGTAGACCTAGCAAGTTGAACTTTATACCAGATACTGAGGTCTATGGTCCCTATTTGGTGTATAAAAATCAAGGCCCTGAGTCAACACGATAAAAAGATATGGGCAAATTTTTATTTTCGCGAAAACTTGTAAGTACCAAAATTTATCTTAATTTTCAACTTTTTTATTTTTCACAATTTGCTCTTTACGTGTGCTGTAAGACCTTGCTTTTAACCAAAATTGGCAATTCTAGGTCAACCGGAAGTACCCTATAGGTTTTCGGTCGAAAACCTATATGGTAGTTCCCGTTGACCTAGAATCACGAAATTTGGAAAAAAGAAACGTCTTACAGCACAAATAAATGAATAATTCCAAAAACAAAAAAAATGTTGAAAATTAAGATAAATTTTGGTACTTACAAATTTTCTTCAAAACTTACAATAATCTACGGGGTAGGTACGGAACCTTCGTCGCACGAGTTTGACTCGACCTGACCGGTTTTTTTTTATGGTGTAATAGGGCAAACGAGCAGACGGGTCACACGATGGTGAGTAACTACCGCCGCCCATGGACACCTGCACTTCAAGTGTGCTACCGCCATTTAAGCAGCCCCCCCATAATCAGGGGAAGGAGGGGTCACAGGGAGGGGTGAAAAGCAATGAAGAATACAGTTTATTAAAATTAATTGTGCAGGCGCATGATTATTTATAATTTTTTAAAGTTAATTATTATAATACTTACTGGATCTCCTTCCACTTTACAAGTAAAACATTTACAAACTGCTTTAACTGATATAAACTCCATTTATATTAACATTGCTATTTTATCTCGCAACTATAGAAGCTTTTAAAATTTGAGGGTATTATAACAATTTCACTGTGTGCTTAAAAATATATGTATATATCGAATCCAAGTTAACGTTCTATTTGATATTTCGGTTGCTTTTGGCATGCTCATTCTTAAATTAATTCCAGATCATGGATTCCTTATTTTAAGAGTTCGGCTCCTTAAAAGGGCGCAGACTCTTCGTTTTCTAAAAGTCAATAACAAATTTTAAAAGGTCGAGTAACGCGATAAATTGAGATTTATATTCTTTATTTGTTAAACGATTTATTAACCTAGCCAGTTTATATTCATCTCTTTTATGCACATTTATATCGGTGCCATTTAACCAGCACTGTGTGCAAGCGATTTTTCATGTATATATAATATATATTTACAGGAAAAATCATCAATAAATCATGTATAATTGTTTTTTGTGTGTGTTATAATTATTTTTTAATCTAGTAGAATAATCTATTGCCTTATTTCGGAGCAAACCACTTCTGAATAACAAATTTATTGTACCAATTGGTTATAACGGTGATTAATGTTTACCATTCTTCGGGGTTAGAATGAGTTCGCATCAAAAACCTTTTCATTCCATATCAGTACGTCGTCAGTAAGTCGAATCAAAAGAAGAAAAAAATACTTGCACTGGACTTCAATGGCTTTGTGAACTTTCTAATATTACTTAACAACATTAAAAAAGTGGCTCTTTTATAAAACTTGTTCAGTATCGAAAGCTCTGTTTATAAGTTGCATCTTTTCTTTCTCAGTAAAAGAACGATTAACCAGTACGCTGATTTAATATTATTATATTAAGTCAGCGTAATGGTTAATCGTTAATGGTTAATAATATGTTGGTAGACTTTACAAACTTTTAAGGACGGTTATGTAAAACTGAAAAACACGCCGGTACGTTCACTGTGTCTAGTATAGACGTATTTCACCGTTAGAGTACATGATTTTTACTTTTCAATGTGCACATAAACTTCGTAAAGTCGAACGTGACATGGAATCGAATTCGACAACTCGGCCGTCACTGTTTACTATGTCACCGTAAGTATTGGATGTTGTAACACACTTAGGCTCTAGATAAAATTTTGGGACATAGAAAATATGATTTAGAGATCATTAGCATGTGAAATCTAAACAAATTATTTATTTATGCTCATGTGAAAAATATTTTCTAAATATCTTCATAGTCTCTGTTACAACAAGACTATGTAAAAAAAAAATATTCCGTTGTATTGCGACTAACGTATGTTAAAATCTAGGAATGTAGTTGATGGCATTACCATCGTCGCACTGTTATGCATTAGGGGCACGGATCATGCAGGCTTTACGCGGAGAGGCCGGCGCGCAGCGCGGCCTAGCACGTCTCTGCAGATGGCGGGCTGCGGGAGCACGCAAGAAAACGTTGAGACAGATGCGTGACGCAGCGCGCAGGAGCGGTACCCCGCGACCGCGGTGCGTACCCGCGCCCCTCTGCCGCCTGCTTCCTGCCGCGCGATACATCTCACAGAACACATCGATAATCGCGTGGTGCGTGAGCCCGTTGCGGGCCGGTCGAGGGTAGGTAGTGGCGCGTGGCGTGGCGCGTGGCGGTGGCGGTGCGTGGTGCCGGTGCAGGCCGTGCGCGTTAGCGCGGGGCGGGCGCGGCGCGGCCCGGGCGCCAGTCGCTCGGAAGCAGGCGGGCGGCTCGCGTCGCCCTGCGCTCTATTTGTGCATTACTGCAACGCTGCGCTCGAAAACTCGCGACAAGGTACGCGACGCGTTCCCACACCGCACGTTGCACATGTTACTACACATTATCGTGCATTTTTCATTCATCTCTCCGTTGTTTTTTGCTTAATTATATCAGTCGCATCCTAGTCATAAAAACGACAGTTCGTTTCACGCATAAGTTTTTTTTTTATAAAATTCGAGGTACATTTAAAAATTAATATTCAATACATATCAAAAAAATCGCTCGGGTGAGTAAAATGAATTAGTATTTTAGGTGTTCCTCTAAGGTTGTAACAAAATAGAAACAGGCATGCGTAAGCTCGTTAATGGCAGCCAGATATAATATGTATCTGTAAAATGGTGGTACTCCTTTGTTATTTTTTAAGAAAATTGTTGATAATATTGGAGTTATCAATTTTATAATAGTTTTCAATATGCAAGAGAAGACTGCGCTTCATTTTATCTTATAGAAGTTGTCATGAGGGAGAAAACAGCAAAGGCACTGGCCTGGTGCCAAATACCGACCGCGACACATATCTTTCAGTACCAAAATATTTTAGAAATACCTATCAGAGATATGTTAACAATTTAATTTTTTCTTCTAGTAAGGCAGTTTTGCGGACCATGAACGTTGATTCTTTAAAAGTGACATAATGTAAATAAGTTTTTTATTCTACGCATTTTATGTCTGAATAACTTTTACAGTATTGAAGTAAATGTTAAATTAAATTTATTAAAAAATCTTCTTAGTTATCTTTTATTTTTTTATTTGATCTACAGGATGTATGAGAATAAATGTAAATGTTTCCTGAGAACCTGACGTTTTACGAAGTGACGTGAATCTTGACGAAAATGAGAGTGACGAACGATGGGCGCCTGACACTCGGACCATTGTATCTTTTTGTGTATTTAATAGGTTTAACACTGTTTATGTTGCTGAACTCTGGGAACGAACATAACAATTTAATCGAAATACTCCACATCTACGGTCAGTTTTCACATAGCGCCGTAACGCCATCCTCTTTTTATGATATCAATACATACTTCATGTACAATCTAACAACAGAACCTAGGTTTAAATACTTGCTGTGATTTGTAACATAAAGAGGAATATATAGCTAAGAATCCTTATGTAACCGATAGTTGGTAATCAGTCTCGGGCTAGCGATAAGTATTTTTTTTGGAAATAACGCAAAATAACAAGAAAGTAAATACATATTTTATTAAAATTTTAGTAACAGATTCCACAATAATAAAATTTAAAGTCATAGGCAAATTGTAATTTCAGTTCAAACGTGCTGACGTATTAAGCAATTTGTGAGCTATCCCCGAGAGATGCAATTTCCCCATGCCGTCTAATTGCTCCCGATGCTTGCTACTACGAAACTAGTTAGGAAACTGGCCTACGAACCACTTGTGTCGCCTCATGTCAATATCAGTCACTCGTCCAATAGGACCGATTCTAAGACAGACGAAAGACTGAGACAAGTTTGACGCAGACACAGAACCAAAATATTTTTATTAGAAAAAGGTTAATTGGTGTGATATTTGAATTTTCTCCGTGGAAAACTCATTTTATATTTTCTATTTGGGCGTGGTTGATGAATATAGTGATCAGTGATCCTTGAAATAATTGTGTGAAAAACTACATGCGATTTTCTATCTATAGCATGCGTGTATTTAAAATTATATAAGTAAGCTTAGGAACAATCTGGTTACCATAGCAAAGATTCTGGCTTGGTTGAGAACAGACGGCCGTGAGTAAGATGTGTCAAGTTTTCATTATTGTTTTTATGAGTACTTAGCAAAATGTAAATTAAAACATTATGCATTTTATTCGTCTAAAAAATTACGATGTTATGAAAAGTGAACTTACTATTAATACAAAATAGTTGTAGTAATGAATCACACAATGTTGAGTTTTTTTAGTAAATGACATTCAGATGTCGTCAGAATATTATCGTTTGCCAGACACAACATTGATTTGTTCATAAACAGCAGTAATCACGATGATATCTAAAGACCTTCACATTTTTCTCTTCTAAATTAATTCAATGTTTTTTTTTATTTTTACGTATACCTGAAATACTAAAGTAGGTGACTCGTTAGATTTATTTCGTTATTATTTACAAACTAATCAAGTTTGTAATATATTACTTAAATAAACTAAACTTTATTGGTATTTGCCGCGTTTGCAGTATATACCTAATATTTTATATTTAATATAAATTTACCAGTCTCTGGTGGCACGAAAATAAATAGTGATTTTCCCATGTCGCCTGTCATGTCAAATTATGAAAATGTCAATCGCCGTTGAGGTTTAATAACTTACTTTTAAAAATGACATTAAAATAAAATGGATGAATATGCCACTTACATAGAAAGCGAGAAAGATTATTTTTAATGTGTATCGTAAAATACGCGAAGAAGAACTAAACCACAATACTCGATCCGATACAAAAAGATTCGGTGTCTAGATCGTATAAAACTATACAATACAATTCAATTTTTGTAGCGCTAAACACGACGAATATTTTGATTTCATTTAGCTATGGGATTTTGTTAGATCTATATTTAAATACAATTGCAATTTTGAAAATACATATAAAAATTCATTAATAGGTAACAAATACGGAAACTGATTATTTTATAGTTTGTTGTCTTGCGTCTTTAATTAAGTACTAACCGTTAAGCGGTAAGCACGTGATTAGGTAAGTAACAAATATTTTCACTCCACAGGAAAAAAACATCTTAAATTTTTGTTAATGTTTTTCTATTCTTAAAATTTTATTCTATATATACATATTATATTTTATATTATTGTACTATGCCACTGCGGTGGTGGGTACAATGAGATGGCATTGATGAGAAATGAGACATAAAACTGACGCGAAAAATAGATAAAAACAATCTTTGAAACGATTTGTACATTGTGTCAAAATTTGAGCTTAACCGGTGCAGATCTTCTTGAGTTTTCTAAGCGTACAAAACCTACATTAAAAAAATATATATTTAAAGATTAAACATTTAATCATGCGCTTCTGAACAACACGCATGTTAATTTTTATCCGTCACTGGGCAGTTTTTGTGGACATTTGTGGAAATCCAAAGATTGTATCGTTACTCTTGCTATTTATCGATGTACATGCTTTAAAAACAACGTTTTCATTTAACAGTAATTATTTATGTACTAATACACAATAATTATTAAACAGTGTATAATTATACACTGTTTACATATAATATCATGTTTATATTTGTATTTTTTTATTAATATAGGTTAAATGTATTTATTTAAATGCTGCAAAACAGATTTTAGGAAAAAAACATTGAATTTAAAGTTGCAATTATATACTTGGTATGAACTTTGAATCATAATCTTGAATTAACTAGAACAATCATATTGTTGTCATTTTTTTACAAGTTTAAAATGTACCGTTTACCAAAGTATTACAAAGACATCGGCGACATTTATAACAATGACAAGTCATCGGGAGGCCATTGGTCTTACATAGTAGAATAGGAAAAGTGCAACACTATTCCGACGACATTCCATCAAAAGTCTATTGATACATTATTAAAATAGCAGAATTGAGGCCCAGATCTCATGTAGAGCTAAGCTTTTAACTCTACACGCCCCAACTCTACAAGCCCGAACTTCACCAACTCTACACCTTAGTCAAAATATATACCTTGGCCGTTTCGCTCGTCACATGGGCGTAGGTGAAAATTTTATTTCGCTACCGTCACAAGGGTGTAAGGTCAGTTGCGTTACGGTACTCGTATGCGATAGACGCGGTCGGGATTATAGTAAATACCTACTCAACTTTCTTTCTATTACCTGCGCCCGGCGCAAGGTGACCTTCGGCCGGCCGGCCGACTGTTGCTTAGGTTGCGGGCCAAACGATGTTTGATTAATCGAATAAATACATTATTTCTTGCATAATGGAGGATGACAGCGATCACAATAAAAACAAGTTTGTTTATACAGATATGTTATCGGAGACTGACCTAATAAGCGAGCAGGATATGCTAGAGGATTATACGGATCAAAATCAGGAAGATATTGGGATGAATAAAGAAAGAAAATCAGGAAAAAGGGCAAGAGATGAGGCAGACGTGGAAGAAGACTGGTCAATAGTGCAAAGAAAAGGGAAAAAGGCAAAAGATATGATCGAATTATATATTTCCTGTAAAGAAATGTTACCTAAGCAATTCGCATTGGCGAGATTGTTCAAAGAGGAGGGTATCAAAGATATAGTAAAAATAAAATATATAAACTCTTATAAACTACGGGTTGAACTAAAAGATGAGACGATTGCTAACAAGTTAGAGACTTCCGAAACCTTCCTTCAAAAGGGATGGAGGATCAACCGAGCTATGGTTTTAAATAGTACTTACGGAGTAATAAAAAATGTTGATATTGATATATCTGATGAAACAATATTCAAGAGTATTTCTTGCCCAGAAGGTGTGCACTTACTTTCAGCAAAACGTCTTAAAAAAAGGAACAAAGGCGCCTCAGCAGGTGAAGAATTGTGGATCCGGAGTGAAGCGGTTCTATTATGCTTTAAGGGCTCATATATTCCAACGTATATCTTAGTAGATGAGCTGCGGATAAGGGTGGAACCTTATATATTCCCAGTGACTCAATGTAGTAAATGTTGGCGGTTTGGACATTTGAATAAGACATGTACATCTAGGCAAGTAGTGTGCCCAAAATGTGGGGATAACCATCCTAACTGTGATAATGTAACCTTTAAGTGTGTTAATTGTGGTGGAAATCACATGGCATTAGTCAGGTCATGTCCGGCGTATGTTAAGGAGAAGAAGATCAGAGACCTAATGGGTCAATTTAACTGTACATACCGAAAAGCCCTGACAATGTACGTGCCTCCTAGCGTTTCTAAGCACGGCGATACAGAAAACATCACCGAAACAAAAAATTTTACGCCTGTTAGTGAAACTAATTACTGCAATATGGCCACATACGCTAATGTAGTCAAAGCTTTGTCACATCAAAAGGAACCGACAAGA